AAATAATCATTAAAACAATAAAACAGAAAATGCGCAATTATTAAAAGCTATAAAACTCTTGTAGAGAGTAAAAGTACTTGGGGTGCAGGTATTTCAAAAAATGTTTTTTGAAGACTTTTAAGTCGTTGATAGCTTCTTTTTCTTGTTTGTCCTTTCCGTCAGATGAAATCACCTGCTTTTTGTATGTTTTCTATTTTTGTTAGTTTGATTTATCTTCCCTTATCCTGTAAATGGTTTCCTTTACTATTATGTTATACATTATGACATTCAGCTTCTGCAACCCCTTTTTCAATTCATTTTCGGTATTGCAATAAAAATATCTAACAAGATTTAACATTTTACGCCACTCATTTCAAGACGGAGAACAGCACCGGTATAATGTAAAATAGTTGCTGTGATAGTAATATGATCGCCATACTTGTCACTTGTGTACTAGATAGTGGCTGGCTTGTGCCACGAGTGCTCGCTATGAAAGCCACCTATCGAGGAATAGTACAACGACCTCTAGTACCGAACTCACAGCCCAGGCCTTAGGAGCTATGAATGGCATCTTCCCCTACCAACTCTGAAGTAGATATAACGTTACAAGGTCACAGAATTCACAGTTTTCTGCACGTATAAGCGGTACTGATGTAGGACAGGGAAGGAATCATATGTAAAATGTGCAGGTGCATAAGAAACAATCTAGGACACGATTTGGCAACGTCCGAACGTCGTGAGGTAAGGAGAATGATAAAAGAGGGGGCTCTGATAGCTGTGGTCTGCTACAGGGGGCTGAGTTGCCAGGCATGGCAGTATTTCGCCCAAGTGACGAATTCACAGTTTCCATGGACTTAAATTTAAAGGACGTTAAGACAGGGCTGTAGCCGAAAATTTTGACATCTGCACATCTGAACGAGGATGTTACGTTGAGATCTGTACACTGCCTTATCCTTGCTCGTCATACGAAATTAAACAACTTCAAGTTTGGTCTTCGAAGAACCCCGCCGATCAGGTATTTTTATCAACAGAGGTCAGCCGACAATCTGCCTGATGAATTTTGTTTTCGATCGCATTTAGTGACGTCACTCGCTTCGCTTCATACTTCCACAAATGTCAGTAGTTCAAGATAAGACATAGACGCTGTCATCTTGTTGGGCGTCTCGAAATCTGTATCGACAAATAATTTGAGTTTAGGTTCTCCTTGTTCCAGTTCTGTGGATTGTCGATTTTCACTTTTGTGACTTTTGCGTCACAAGGCTGGAGACACCTGTGGAGTTCCATGTTAACAAAGGACAACCTCTAACGATTGTCTCGCGAAGAATTGGCCAACAATAACAGGGAATCTAGCAAGCCTGGTGGGTGGGTGGAGCCTGGCGCTGAGATGCGGATGGCGCGACAGTCGCCAGTTCGGTATTATTTTGACTAATTTGTAGGGTTGCCACTGCCCATATTTTATATTCCCCAAAATACAAGTCAAATTCCCGGAATTTGGGGAGAAAAAAAATGCTCACCAATTTCCCACAAAATTATTTTAAGAAATCAGATGAGTTCAAACTATTTAAACCATTTTCTTTATTGTTCGAATCACGCTTCTTCCTTGGATTTGGTTGCGTTTTTCTTGACTTCTGCCCATGTCTTTAACCCCTTCTCTTGTTGCCGTTAGAGATACTACAGTATCTGTATTCAGTCGGTTTCGGCTTTCTGTCTTTGAATTTTTACGAACACCAAATTGTCACGCGACAGTAACAGGTAGTAAAGGCTTAATGCCAGTCCCCAATATATCTCCACTCAACCCTAAGATTCCCTGCAATCTGGGCAATTCGCACAAATGGGCAACGATGGACATTTGCTCATTTCTCTTTGTCATTTTTTTACCAGTGTATGCATCATTCTTCAGTCTGATTATTTACGACATTAGACAGCCTAGATCAATTTCAGTTATTTTGAGATTGCACAATATCACCTAGATCACTCTGCGTATTTGTATGTATGGATAATTTGCTTTGTAGCAATAAAGACTATGTCTTATAACGCAGATAACAAAAAATAGACTCTCGAAAATTAAATACTTTGAAAACTCCTAAATTAAAAGAAAAAGGTTCAAACACAGCTCAAGCTCATAAGCGTCTCCTTATTTTAATGAGCAGTAGGCTAAGCGATTGTAAAGCTCGAAAAAAATTTGGCAGCAAATAATAGCATTTGCGCCTGAAAGCCCAAAATATGAATGCAGCTTTCGGCGTGGGAGACCACGTACAAGTCGACAACGAAGCAACCGACTCTATTTCCGTCGATTACTCTTGCACGTGCGCGATCTCCAAATCATCTTTGTCTTACTTCGCCATTTCGCTATGTTAAATACTTATTTTAACATAGTGTTGACGTTTAGGCAACACACACAGCTACTACAAGTGAACATGAAGTTGATGATAGCTAGTTCCAAAGTGGCAATGATGGCGATCAGACCGCTATTACTGTCATTTTGAGGCCGTGCAGTAAGTAATAAATTTCATTTGAACATTTTTTTATCCGTTTACCTTTCACATAAACTTTGCAAAGATGGGATATGAAATTCATATTTGAATTGTCGAGTAAAGGCATGTGCAAAGCGGGGCGCCAGGTGACTCCAATAGCTCACTTCTTAGAAATGCAGTTACAATAGATCCCTTTCATGGGGTTTATTGTGTGAAACAATTTTCCAAGAATAACGCATAGCTTCTTGAGAGGCGGTGACCTAGAGTCTTGCACGACATGATACAGTCTCCGATTGCACCTCTATAAAGGAGCAGGCAAAGGAATTCAACAAGACGAGAACGACATTTTGTCTGATGAAACCGGCAGCACCAACAACTGCAGCTAAAGGCACGTTTCCGATGCTGCAAATTACAGGCCACACTAATATTTGACCACAACTCTTCAGTACGTTTACAACGATGTCTGCAACATTTTGTACGTGCAGTACCCAACACATCAACACCTCCACGGACAGACATTCCGACCCCCAGGTGCAATCAAACTCGCTCAGCTACTTGCTGTCAGAATACCACATCTGGCCAGCCGCGAATAAGTCTATTAACTACAACTTCGGATGTTTCCACTCTGCCGTGAGTTTGCAGCAGGAAATAGCACAAACGGTGATGGGCGTTCACACGAATTACATTATCCGTTTACGTTCCGGCGTAGACAATACTATACAATGTACACACGGCATACAATGTGTGTAATGTATATGATGTATATAATGTATGCAAAGTACACAATGTATACAATTTTTACAATGTATACAATGTATACGATGTATACAATGTATACGATGTATGCAGTGTATACAATGTATACGATGTATACAGTGTATAGAATGTATGCAATGTATACAATGTATACAATGTATACAATGTATGCAATGTATACGATGCATACAGTGTATACAATGTATACGATGTATACAGTCTATACAATGTATACGATGTTTACAATACACACGATGTATACGACGTATACAATGTACACAATGTACACCATGTATAGAATGTATACACGGTATACAACGTATACGATGTATACGACATATACAATTTATACAATGTATATTATAATGTTTACAACATGTACAGTTAATACAATGTATACATTCTATATATAAATATCAAGATATATACAACTGGATTTGCATACAATGGCATATTTTACATGATGTGTACAATGCGCTCATCACGGAACGTAAACCGCTGATTGGACTTACCCGAAGAACAAACATCAAGCAACACAGAGGTACCTAAGTCATGAGACTGGAAGGAAACGTCGAATTATCCGGCAAAGCTAATAGGCTCCCGAGTACCTTGCGGAAGGCAGTTTCTCCCGAGCGGGTGCTGTCGGGCAAGCTGTAGCTGAGCGGTCATATTGCGATTGGCAGGTGATGGTGGTAGGATGTATTCTGGTAGCGCGTAGCTGAGCAAGTTTGAGTGCACTCAGTGACGCAGACCGTCTGTTACTCATAGGCATCGACATGTTGCAAAGTGACATATCCATAAGTTTAACCACATGTTGCGCATCTGAGTCACTTGGTACATTTTTGTCTGGATCGCTTGACCCCAGCATGCCGCAGACTGGATAAGTAGGTGCGAAGTATGTAGTATCCCACACCGCGAAACTATGACCGTCGGACCGTGGTCGGAATATTAAATATTCACAGGGCAAACCAGCAATCGTTGTCTATGCAAGTTTTTATAAATAGACACGTTTTAAATGGCTACGTTCGCTTTGTGTCTCTGTAACCATAAAAGCGATGTTTCGTGCTCATTATCAACTCAATAGTGCGATATAAGTCTTGGGTCTAGTTTTAGCGACATAGGAACGGGAAGCAGACGAGTGGGTATGGCCTTCTGAAAAACTCAAAAAATTGGTAGAAAATCCAGCGATCATGTCACGTCTTTTTGACACACACGACACGTCCACCCTAGCGAGTTGTATGCATGCTACATTCACACAGTCATGCCCCGCCTTAGAGATCCGTCCGGTGGTACCTCCAAGTTCGACACTCTGAGACCGTCTAACACAGCATCCATAACCAATAGAAAAAATCGCTTGGGTCGGGATTAGTAGACACTTAGCGTGTATCACTACGTTAAAGATTTTGTGTGTCATATTTTAACTGTGCTTGTTTTAATATATACACAGCTGGTACCTGGGCAAACCCTAAGAAAACCAAATTTCCAGTTTTTAGGAAAAACGACCATCGTGGAAATTACGAAAGCTTATTTAACTACCAGACAGCAAAATGATACAGCGACACAGTTTTTATTGTCTTGTGACAAATTGTAATTATGCTAGTTACGAGGTTTTTGCAGTGACCGATTCATTTTTGCGACAAAGAGGGAATAACTTGGTCATTTAGTGCATCTGACAGTAATTATCACAGCAAACATAAAGCTCAACTCTCGCAAGTCTCTCCGAAATCATTAAGCCACAAAAAAATTCCACCCGACATAAAGATAAGCCCAACGACGGAAAGTGATGCCTACCTAAAACAATAGCTAAAGTTTTTGTGGCCTTTCTCTCCTTTTTCGCTGACGACTTCTCCCGTTTTTTCCTGCTGGCCTTGTTCACTTTGTAGATGGTGAACCTGGCAGCTGTAGTCGCTTTCTTCTCCTTTTTCGACCCGACTGTGGTGGGAGTGCCGGTGCCCGAGTTTATCGTTGCCACCGTCCTGAAAAAAAAATATACCATAAAAATATTGTACGATAACGTTATATGAGAAATAAACCCGGGAATATAAATAAATAAACGGTAAAACAACATAGTGAAATCGAAACAACTAAAATTTTCACAGCTTTCGGCTTTGGCGTTTACGGTGATGGTGGATATAACATACAATGGTGAATCAATAAAAACAGCTACATAAAAGAAATAAAAAAGCGATTGCAATTGCAATATACCCAGTAAAAGTTTAGGCTACGAGTATATTGCCTCTGTAAGAAAATTCGAATATGGAACTAAAAATCCATCATACGTCAAAGTGAAAGCAATAGTATCGCAAACATGTTTTAATAGTGTAAAATCTATTATATACTCAGTGACAAACGATATAGGGCATCCAGTAAAAATGATTTGATTTCAACGAAATAAGCAAAATGACATCCTGATTTAGGTTTTGAAGTGGAAACACTTGGAGTATCGGAGATTTCACTAATGATGTGTAGTGCCGCCTCGACTCCATATCCATCATTTATGTCTTCTTCGGGAATCTCATGTCACGCAAGTTTCAAAGAGCTGCTAACGGATGAAGTAAGTATGTCATCGTATCTCACACATATTCAATAAGTCAAGGATCTGTAGATATATGTATAACAAACATCATAAATTGTTGTATAGAAGTCGGTTATTTCCCATCCGTATGGAAGCATGGTCTGATTACGCCTTTGCCCACAGTTTCACAACAATACGTGCAGTGTTCTGACTACAGTTAATTTTTAAGTGTCATCAAGTCATTAGAAAAACGGAACTCAACCGAGAACATTTTTGCACCATAATTTATTACAACTTTCAGAGACAATTATCGCAACAAGAATGCCTTGCTGAGTTACTGTCTGTTTTCGGCAACGAAGCGCCACATCAGTCGACAATTTCCCGTTGGTATGGAGAACTCAAACGTGGACCGGTGAGTCTTAGCGACGATCCCAGGGCGGGTGCACCAAAAACGGCAGTCACCCAGGAAAACGTCGACGCTGTGCCCAAACTCATCATTGAAGATAGACATGTGACATATCGCGAGATTGAGGCGTCCTTGAAGATGTCAACGACCTCAATTTAAAAAAAATTACATGAAGAATTAGGAGTAAGAAAATTAGTTTCTCGTTGGATACCCCACCTGTTGTCTAAAGAGCAGAAAGCAGCCACAGTTAATTGGTGTCAAAAAACTCTTGACCGTTTCAATTCTGGAAACTAAAAAAATGTGTACAGCATTGTTAGTGGTTATGAATCGTGGATTTACTGTTATGAATCAGAAATTAAACGACAGTCGGCTGTTTGAGTGTTCCAAGGTGAAGAAAAGCCAACAAAAGTCATCCGTTGTCGAAGTGTTTCGAAAAAGATAGTAGCGACATTTGTGTCAAAAGCGGGTCATATTGCAACAATTCCTCTTAATGAGCAAAGAACTGTTACTGCGGATTGGTATACCACCATTTGTCATCACCGAGCTTCGAAAAATCAACCCCCAAAAGAAGAATCATCCTTCGCCAAGACAATGCAAGCTCGCACACAGCCCAAAAAACAAGGCAGTATTTAACGGAAGAAAACGTGGAATTATTGGACCATCGTCCATATAGTCCCGGTCTAAGTACTAACGATTTCTTTACTTTCCCGAAAATTAAAAACAGACTGCGTGGTCAAAGGTTCCAGTCACCAGAAGAAGCAGTTGACGCATTAAAAAATGCCGTTTTGGATCTGCCAGCAAACGAGTGGAATAAGTGCATGCAGATGTGTATAAATCCTGGTGGAGAATACTTCGAAAAACAATAAGGTCATTTAAAACTGCCTACCGTGTTGTTTTATTTCCATATGCAAAACTTAAAAGGCATCCCTCGTATCTCATATTTATTGATATATTTATATGTATCACTTATATTAAATTTCCTGTTTTCATCTTAAAAGATTCCTACGTCCCCCGAGCCCAAAAACTACCCCGAAGAGAGTCCAAAATTGAGTTTCTATTCTCAGATGCTAGGCCATCGTATTCCCATGTATTTTTCGACGCACAATCCAAATTTGGTGAAAACGACAGAAAATACTCCCTAATAGTGGTTAAAAACTGATTTGCAGTTACCAGATGCTCAGCCACGGTGTATTTATTCATCAATACTGAATCGGAATTTGAGGTAAAAAAACCCACCTCGCTTGAATTTCCCACTGGCGTCAAAGCTGTCCAGAATGACGGGTGGAAATTGAGTTACAAGGGATGGATGGTAAATCGTTGTATTGTTGGACGCGTATTTAGGAAATCTGATGCATTTTTTCCTGCTGAAGCCCTCTGCTCCTGACAAGACTAGGATGTGAAATATTGTATGGTATAGGTAACTGAAACATGCTCCTTGAAGCGTAAGGAAATGTCAAAGCCAACCCTAAACTTTTAGCTGTATCCACTGATGGCAATAAAACTTCACCTATACTGATATCCACTTCCTGCGTTAACTTTTCACGGCTACTGTCGGAACAAAAAAAGACTCAGTAGAACATTTAGAGGAATTTAACTTTAAATTATAGTTATTAGAGGAAACTGATATTTTATAAGGTTCATCATTAATGTCCTGAGCTGCGTGTGAAACACTAGACAGCGGGAAAGACTTAAACAATTGAGGAAGCTACAATTAGTAAATTTGAAACCGCAAAATGGATATCTGATAAACTGAAAAAAGTATGGGCCAAAAATGGATCCCTGTGACACACCGGACGTGACGGGACATAGTTCAGATAATTATTGATGTACAGATACTACTTGTTGACGCCTGAAAGGTAGGTTTAGCATGATCGCTGAAACAACATCAATCTCAGTTGCATCTGATTATTGAAACATATCAAACACAAGACTATCAAAGACAATTTGTTCACTAACAGACTTAGATTGAAATTATATATTTTCATTAAAGTACATTTTCAAGCACAAATATCCGTTCACGTATTAAATATACATGACAACGGTATTCTCTAGACTATTATTGTAAAAACAAAAAAACATGGTATTTTATGGAAATCACTGGATGGCATAAAATATAATATAGCCTTAACAACAGTGTACCACCACGCCAAGAACGCTTAGTTAATCAACGTGTTGAAAATACTGTGTCTCCTCGCTTGACACAATCGTATAAGCGGCTTCGCTGCTTTTCTAAAAGCAATTCTGACAATAATATGTTCTACTCCACATAACAGATAAAATATCTTTACGGTTACAATGTCTTTTGATACCTACTTGCCTTGTAGGTCGCCCTTCTTGGGAACATGAGAGCTCTTAGAAGTTTTGATGTTTACCTCAGTAAACCAACGATTCTGATATACGATTAGTCAATATCATTGTCTTGCTACTTGACCCTATCTTTCCAATCAATCCACCCAAATAACCCGATAAAGAATAGCCTGCAGCATTGATATTAATCTAATTTTAAGCCCCTTTACCGTTCTTTTATTGCAGCTTATACTTCTGAAAGAGTCGTTAATTAAATAAGAGTCGATGCGAAAGTTGCAACTTAATCCACTAACTTTGGCGACACACTTTTTCACTCGGTGCTCGTCTACCCAGCATCCGGTCCGCACAACTTATCCTCAATTTGCTTTTAAAATTGAACTAATCCTTCCGAACGATCTGTTCGCTGCTGGGTTTTATTTTTATTTTGTCTCTCCCAGCGTACTGCACCTGCTTCCTTGTGTCGATCGGGTTGAATTGAAAAAATGTTGCGAGTTGGTTAACCAGTGCCGCAGAGAGAAAATCCGGGCCCGGGGAACCGAAGCGCGGGCTCTACCTCGCCACTCTTTCTTTTATGATTTTCACGATTTCTCTCGATTCTGCTAAATACAGGGTGTTTCAGTTTATTGTTGCATAACTTTAAGATTCGATAGAACTTTTAAAATTAATGCATAAAGTCTATATAAACATGGGTCGGAAAATGCGTGGCTTCCGAAATAAAGGGTGTAAATTTACTTTCTAAAATAGTTTTTTTTAAGTATTTCGAAAAATATTTGACGTATAATAGTGAAAATTGGTATACGAGAGTTTTTTGGTACGACAAAGCGAACCATGGGCATAGTCTTACTGTAGCCGCTACAGGGCGCTCTCTAGTGTACCTGCAGTGTATTAAAATGACCGAAAAATTTTTCTTAGTGCAATTTGTTGCTTTTTGAATAAAAAAACTGATTCTTCGCACTTTTCAACATAAAAAAGCTCTCTTGTGAATTTTCATATAGTTAGCCGTTTTTGAGATATTTCGATTTTTAAGGTTCGATGCATTTTTAATTATTTATGGGAAAATAATATTTTTTTGACATTTTCGATTTGGGCATCACAAGTAATTAAGATGATCTGCCAGGATGTCAAGATAGGGTAAAAGATGGGGTTCTAGAACTTCGTGGATATAACGATGCGCGTTCATGTTACCTCTGATGAAGATTAAAGGTGACCTGGAACCATAAGCTATAGCACCCCAAACCATAACTCCAACAGTGTGATGAACATGTCCTTCAACAAAAAACTGTGGATTCCTCCTTTCACCACGTCGCCTTCTAACCCTGGCACGACCATCGTGCATGCCTAAACAAAATCGAGACTCGTCACTAAAGACAATACTGTTCCATTCCTGATCCCAGAGTGACCGTTGTCTGCACCACTCAAGGCGATTACGTCGGTGTTCTCGAGTTAAAGGGAGGACCCAGTGTGGCCGGTATGAAACCAAGCCAAAACTTCTCATTCATCGGTAAACACTTCGCATGCCAATAGGTCTGCCGTGTTCTGCAAACCATTCATTTGCAATGGACCTGGTAGTGGAGAAACGGTCCCTTAAGGCCAATAATCTCAGGCGGAGATCTTCACGGTCTGTTGTTCTACGGCGGCGTCCAGTGCCCCTTGCTCTTTGCGTACGGCCTTCTAGAAGCCATGCCTGACACCACCTAACCACAGTGTCTACACTCCTTTGCACTCTGACTGCAATTGCCCGAAAAGAA